TAACAACGGCAGCAGTCAAGATGAATACTCTTGTGTGCTCACTGCCATACACAAAGGGAAAATATTAGAAGGTGACTGTTGGTGTAAGTTAGCAGAGTTTTTGTTTCAGTCCAGGCAGTCCAATTGAATGACACAAAGACAGCTTCTTCCTACACCAAGTGTATTTACAGTATATACAGAAGTTCAGCAGTACAAACCGGCAGCATGACACTCATTAGAAAAGATCTGTACATCTTCTCCACAGGTCCACAGAGTTATACACATGCACATTTACACACAGCCAATCAGTGTGGACATTGCATCATCCCAGACTGCATGATTCAGCATTTTGCACACCTGTCAAGTATGGCTGCTGATTATCATAGGCCTCGTTCTGCCTCAGAGCGGAAATTATCCTTGACACCCCTCCTAATTTACACCTGAGCAAAATGTATTCCCAATTCTTCAGTTAGTTCTCTATGTCTTTGCACACTCAGTGGTTTAATTAGAATGTCTGCTACATTCTTTTCTGTTTCACAATACTGCAGTTGAATTACTTTTTCTTTTACTGCCTCTCTAACATTGTGATATTTAATATCAATGTGTTTGCTTCTGCTTCTCATTTTTTTCTGTGGTTGCCATCTGTATACATGTGGTGTTGTCCCCAAACATTGTTATGGCTGATCTACTTTAATTTTCAGATCTATAAGCAACTGCTTATACCATGCTAGCTCTGAACACACTTCTGAAAGAGCAGCAAACTCTGCCTCAGCAGTGGATGTGGCAACAGAATTTTGCTTCCTTTATTTCCATCCCACCAATGTCTCAGCAAACTTTATTGTGAAACCTGATATTGATTTCCTGTCAGTTATGTTGTTGGCCCAATCACTATTTACATAAACCTTTAATTTTAAATCACTAGAGGGTTGCATTAACAAACATGTGTCAAGAGTACGTTTTAGATATCTAAATATTCTTTCCACCCCCAACCAGTGTTTCTGTGTTGGCTTTGCAGTATGCCTACTCAGAATATTAACTCCTACAGCAATATCTGGAGCCTTGTCCAATTTGCTAGATATTGTAAATGCCCAATTGCTGATTGGAACAGTTCTTGTTCTTCAAACTCTTTGCTTTCATCCTCTGACTTTTGAAAATCTACTGTCATGGGTGTCTGTACACTTTTGCAGTCCTGCATATTGTATTTTCTTAGCATTTCCTCTATCTTTAATCTCTGATTTAAGACATAACCATTGTCTTTTTTTCTGAATTTGAACCCCTCAAAGTTTCTGCCATTACTGTTGGGGGAAAAACTTTTCTCTGCGTCAGGCAGAAGCAACACCTCTTCATAATTCTTAGGTTCATTGAACACATGACAAACTCTTATTTCCCACACACCAAACCTTGATGGAGCTCCTTTGTTAGATCCTTCTGACCTTCTGGGAAGCTCTGGTTCTTCTTTAACAGGCTGACTCTTTGCCTCACTACATTCCCCCATCATCTTCCTCTGAGCTGTTGGGACTTGAGCTTCCTTCAGCCTCTTGCTTTGGAAGCATCTCTATTTCCTGAGATTTTTTCATCATTATTTATGGGTATGAACACTTCTGAGTTTGCATGAACCTTGTCCCAATTTTCTTGTTCACAGAAATTGGCTGATCTGGAAATGACCACATTTCTATTTCCATCAAAGAATCTATATGCTTTAGACCCTTTTTCATACCCCAGAAATCTCATTTCTCCTTGTTTCTTTTGGAATGTGCACCCAGGCACTGCATCCAAACACTCTCATATGTTGCAGGAAAGGTTCTTTGCCATATAACATGATCTGTTCTGTAGCTGAAGACCAAATTCTATTAACTATGTAGTTCGCCGTCTGAAATGCCTTTCCCCAGCACAAATTACTCATGTTAGCATCCACTTACAGGGCGTCTTTCATGGTTTGCAGGACTCCATTCCTGCGTTCTGCCACATGATTTGAAATGGAGAATAGGGACTTGTTTTTCTGTGATGTAGCCCTATCTTTGTCAGCCATGTCTGGAACTTTCCAGACATGAATTCATACCCTCTACCTGTCTGCAACTGGTCCACCTTCTGGCCATAACTTCTTTCCACAAAGTTCACCCTGAAATGGTCAAACACTTCTGCCTTATTTTTCATGAGAAAAAGAATGAGAAATGTGTGTGGTCATCGACCAAGACTAAAACATATTTAGCTCCTCCCATAGATGGCATTAGAGGCCCTATTATATCTGCACTAACTGGACCAACTGGAAAGACCTCTGTGTTTGCTTATTACTTTCCTTCCTTATTCTTCCGACCTTTGATTTTGCAACTTTGCATACATTACAATCCAGAAAATTTTTATAGGGTTTCATTTTTAAACCTTTTGCCATCTTTTGCATTTTTTCTACCATCCTGAAATTAGCATGACCCAATCTCCTGTGCGTCAAATGAGCACACTGGTCATGTGGTGGTGTGTGTTTTTATTATGGCATGTGTTACCTTGTTTTGTATCAAAGTCACTACATTCAAATTTATGTAATATTATGGACCTTAACAAATCGAAGACTCAACCTCTTATCTGCCAGGGCAAATTGTGCAGCAATTTACAGCTGTGTATCATTGAGTAGTCTTACTATTATTTCCATTGAAGTACAGTTGGGATACAGCTGAATAATGGGAGACAAAAATCTTTCTCTGGGATCTTCATAGTGAGTTAGGTCCTCACTCTGATTGTAGCCATAGACACATTTCCGCTCCTTTGCTGGGATTCCTTTATACCTCCCTTCAAGATATGTTGTGGTCATCTGCCCAAATCTAAGTTCCATGAACGCTCTGCGGATCTGAGGAAAAGTCAGTGACTCAAAGTAACTTGGTTTTGCATGATTCAACTGAAGTTGGTGGAAATTCAGGGAAATTAGAGGGAATCATATGGATTAGTACCCTCTGTTTTACTTATCTGCTGCCTAACCAACCAACCAACCAACCAACCAACCAACCAACCAACCAACCAACCAACCAACCAACCAACCAACCAACCCACCAACCCACCAACCCATGTTAACAAGATGTATTACCAGAACTGGTCACTAGATAGAACCAGATACTATACTATATATAGGTAGAATAATAGAAATACACTCCCATCTCTGTGGGAAGCAGTTTGAGGGAAGCAGTTTTGGGTGAGATGGAGAAAACACATTTGCATGGGGGAAGGTTAGGCGGCAGTTAATGATTTCAGGTAAGCATCCTTTGTGAAGAGCAGGGCAGGGAACCCAGTCCTTTGTCAAGACTGTGCCAGGATTCCCTGGTTCAAGGAGTTTGATTCAGCTAAAACCTGCAACCATGCATGGACACCAAAGAAAATGGAAATGTGCTTTGCTTATCTGCTATTTACAGCATCCACAGGGGAAGCTTAGAACCTACCCCCTGAAGATACCCAGGACCTACTGTACTCTCAAACCAGTGTGGATTGCATCCTTGGAACACTGGGGCTGCAAATCATTTTTCTCCGTATTGTGATGTTACTACACAAGTTGAAGTTGAAGTTACTACACAAGGACTAAAATATCACAAATATTCCTGACAACTACTTCACAGTTGCCACAATGCTTTTGAAAACCCAGAAGACACAGTTCAAAATTGGCCCAGAAATTTACTGGGGATCGACACTACTGGAAGGGCAATTGTGTAAAAATCATGCTGGCCAATTACTGCTAAAGACTGAGTTTGCATTCCCATTTCTGATTGTGTGCCAAGTTGTGCAAATGGCATACGGGCAGCAACAAGTTAATTAGCAACAATTTACTGCTGCAACTTATGCAGTCACACTTACATCAATGTAAATTCCCAGCAGGGATTCTGGCAAGTGTTTTCTAAAACTCTAGTATAACTTGATCACCAAATTCATACTGGAGGACTTTAAGTATGGTTTAAATGCTTCTTGTAATATACACACTTCATGTTCTTTAACTGTCAATTGAACAGATAACATCACCTTTACATTGATATAACAGAGACATGTGCAGTCCTACAGGCAGCTAGGGGAGCAGTTTATTTAGACTAAAAACAGACGAAAGACACAAATAATGGTAATTATCTGTCCTTATTATTTTGAAACAAAAAAGAGAAATGCATGTGCTGTCAATCAGTCACCATTAGAATCTCTCAATTTTCATCTGAAAAGATTACATGGCTGCTTTCTATAAAAGCCAATGAAAAAGACATGTGCACATAACGCTTCTTCTTAGAGAACGACAGTATTTGATAAACTGTTAAACCACACAAAGCAAGTATTTCACAGAGATGATTCTGAATTTTGTTCTTGGATTTATATGTGACAATACTGTCTTGTACAGGTCTACTCAGATATATGTCTCATTATTTTCAGTGGTGCTTACACTCAGGTAAGTGGGTAGTCTGTATCTTTAGTTCCAGGAAAAGGCTTCTGTTTTTTTTTAACTTTTTGAAACTGGAAAAAATAAAAAAGTAATAGGAAATGGTAACTACCTTGGTGAAGCATCACTATGCTTTCTTCCATGAGACCCCAAAACTGCTACAACTACCTTCATAGAAAAAGGGGTGTTAGAATTCCTTGAGATGAAAGAGTGAAGTATTGAGAGGATTCCTGTATTTCTATAGTTAGGACTAATCCAAGAATCCTTTCTCTCAGACCTGACACTATCACATTTGGTATAGATATGAAAGAGGGCCCTTTTGGAGGCTGCTCCTTGACTGTGGTATTCCCTCGCCTAGATCAGGCTGGCTCTCATCTTCCTGTCCTTCCACTAATAGGCAAGGACCCTTTTTTAAAAGAGAGGCTTTTAATACGTAAATAGCTGCTAAGAAAATATTTTAATGGGGGAATTGTATCCTTTATATTTTTAATGTGTTTTAAAATTGTTTTAAACATTTTTATTTTGAACATTTTAAATAATTTTTTTAAAAAGCAGTATTGTTATTGACTATATTATTAGTTTTTAAAATACTTTTTAAAAAAATTGTTTGCATCTCACTTAGGGTTCCTCTTCTGAGAAAAAGGCAGAGTATAAATTAAATAAATAAAACACTTCTCCAGTCTCTTTGGTCCTGTTTTCCACAGCTACTGCGGGAGGAAGACAGGGCTGATCAGAGTTGGGAGGTAGTCCTTTTTGGACTATACTTCCCTGAGTCCACAGGCAACATAGTTTATGTACCCCCAAATAAGTAATATCTGAGGGTGGCCAATAAGCCCAACCACTTTGTTTTACTATCCCCTTAGTGGTCTAGATATCCATGTTATGTATGGAGCAATGTGGACAGCCCTGCTGAATGCCTTCTCCTCATTCTATTGACTGAATATATCTTATTTTTTCTTACACACAGGGAGGTGTAGTAGTTATGAGGACTGACAGCTGACTTCATGTGCTGTGGGATTCAGCAGCTGGACTTCCTAACCAACCTTTTTCCTAATTCTGTGAAGTGGGCTGGCCTCCAGGAGGAAAATGGATACTGTGCCAGTTTGCAGCCAAGCAACTTTTCAGGTGCTGCTGTTCGATCCCTGATCAATGAAGAAATGGACGTCCTTTCTGCTGGGTCTCAGAAGGGAGGTGCTGTCTTCATGCAAACTCCTTTTACTCCGTTGTGTTAGATATGGTGTAATTGTCACCTAGCTAGAGCTCTATCAGGAACAGACAAAAAGGGAGAAGAAGATATTACAGTACATTGATTTGTTTCACTTATCAGGAACTATTTTAAAGACTATAGTAAAAGGAGAGAAAGAAAGAAAAACAGGCAGACAAGCCTTATAGCACTAAAACTTAACCAAGCACTCAAAGACTAAACAAGAACGCAAACATCCAAATTATGTATGTACACATGCACAGATATGGAATGCTAAAGGTAAATTATCAGGAAAAAAAAAAAATCCAATGCAATTTGGGGCATCTACCCTACCCTAAATAGGGTAAACGGAATGAAGGAAAACAAGGTGTTATGAGAATATAAACTAAAAGTGACCTCACTCAGGGACCCTCCCACATTCTAAGCAACTGGAGAGTGCCAGAGATATTCTTGTCCCCATGGGGAATGTGTGAGGTTGTCAACTTTCTTCTTAATTGTTTCTCATCTAATACCACTTCAGTTCCTGCCTTATGGGGTTATTACTTTCTTGTTCCCCTTTTCTACTTTTCAGTGCATGTTTTTTACAGTTAACATTTTAAACAATGTTTTTTCTGGTTTATTCTGAGATGGTCCTGAAATGGTTGTAGTCCATACCAAAACAGAGTCAGGGCTGTTAAATTTGATAGTGGTGTTAACATGCTGACACAAATACCCCCAATTTGGCATTTTTCAAAGCTTGTGTGCAGCCCCAGCGTCAATCCTGTGAAGGCGAGGTAAAGTAGTTTTGCGGATTAGCCTCTGGATAAAAATACAGAAAGGAAATCAAGAATGAAATGGTTGCATTTTTGGTGTGATGCAAATTGCTAACAGCTGGCAGTGTATAGGTCACTTTTAGTATGACTGTAATTATACAAGTAGCAATATTGCCAGGCAGTGACGGGATTAACTGCAGTGAAGAAGAGGATGTAAAGCAGTGTTTACTGAACTATTTTGCCTTTTCAAGAAAGAAAGGCATCTTCCTCACAATGGAACTCAACCTTGTGCAGTGCCACTACATTTTTCTTCTATTTACTGGCCATTAAAGCTTTGCACTATGTAAACACTGCTCAGTGAAGCCTCAAGTGCAGTCTACCAAAAGGCTAACATAACACTTTGTCTTTCAGAGAAGTACAATGGCAGGTTCCAACAGTGGGTGAGAGAAGTCCTAAATTATAGCACATGTTAGGCCCAACGATTTTGTTTTCTTGCTCTTCCTTTTGCATAAAAGGGAAGCAATCTACTTAAGAATCTTTTCATGCAGATTTGAAAGCAATGCATTAAAAGCGTTCTGCTCTGAAAACAGATTTGCTGAAGTTCCATGCATGTTTATCCAGAAAGAGCAAATGGAGCACCATGAGCACACAAAGGTTTTCTTTATCCAGGAAATGAGGAAGTTAAACAGGCAATGGAGAATACAGGTAACATTACTGGTTGCAATTAAATTCATTAGGCCTTTTATCATCCAGCTGGTTTAGAAACAGGAGACAGAATCCTATTGCTCTACATGATCATGTAAAATTGTGTGAGTTCTGACTCATTTCCTGGGCCATCCATTATGCTCCCAGTTTTCTCCTGATTGTAAAACTGATCATGTTTCAGGGCAAATGATAAGCAGCCTCATTAAAAAAAATCCTTTATGCACACAGAAAAATGCAATGAGATTTTGGTTTTGGTTTTAAAGCTAACCTAGTTGCATTTTAGATACAGTATGCTTTCTATTGAATAAAAAAGAATAGCTTTATTGGGAGTGTGGGGAAATGCCTGTCTTTATCAAGTTATCTGTATCTTTGTGCTATGGATTCCATGCTATAGCCAAGACAGTGTGAAAGTTGTATTCAGAGTTTGGAAGAAACTAATTGCAATTACTGTCAGTGAATTGCATTGTCCAATTATAACATTACAATAGTAAGTCTATGAAGGATACCTTCATTTTGTAGTGTAGCTAACCTTTAAAGTTGCTTGTTATAGTTGCAGTCTAAAGTTACTGCCTATAGTTACAGAACCCAGTGTACAGTGGAAAGGTAATACCATATACAGTACTTCAAATGGTAGCTGGTATGAGAGTGTATTGTATCCCAAGGAGCAGCTTTCAGCTTTCAGTAGCTCCTTTTAAATTAACAATTGCAGTTACTTTTTAAAAAAATAATGAATTAAGGAGTAACTTTTAAAAAATGGCAGCTTTAGTAATAACTCATTTTGGGCCCTTGAACAATAGCTGTGGCCAAATCCTTTCTAAGGTAGCTTTCCAAGCTCTAGTTTACTATAATAGGAGAGGATATATTCCAAATATGTACAGTAGTGCCTCAACTTACGAACCTACCAATGAACATTTTGACTTACAAACAGCTCCGCTCGCAAAATGTTGAGTTGATTTGCGAGCGGACCTTCGACGTAAGAACAGAAAAAGGGGGGAAAGGTAGGAAATTCAAACCACTGGTGGCGAAGAGGCTGCTTCTTTGTAGCTCTTTTGCCCCAATGGTTAGAGCAGGGCATCAGGGAACTTTTTTATTCCTGCAGTGCAGGAGGAGGAAGGAGAGGCAGTGGCAGCTCTGAATCATCATGGGGCACAGGAAGCCGGTGCGCTCCCTGGCCATTCCTGGCATGAGTCTACTCATGAGTAAGGGTGGCCAAAGGCACTGGGCTGGGGCGCACAGGTCGGAGGGGCTCCTCCGTGGACGGGGTGTGCAGTGGTGGCACAGGAGGAGGCTTCCCGCCAGGGAGTGAGTGCCATGGGAGGAGACTTTGGTCTGCCTGGTAAGGTGATGCTTTTTGCTTTTTAGAAACTTCTGGGTCGGTTTTGCAGGGTGAGTTTTGGCTGAGGGGGGTTATGTTTCTGTACTGTGTTGTTTTGGTGATTTTTTTTTCCAGTCCCAGTGATCGTTCTTCATGTCAGGCATGTTACAGATGAGAAGATGTTGCTTTGATGCTGCAATGATCCTTGCAAGCAATTTGCCCACATGTGGTATACATACCATCTAATGATTACTTACCTACTATCTTAGGTAAAGATAATAGTTTGACATTTAGTCCAGTGCAGTCCAAAGGTTCCCTTTGACATTTAGGGCACAGTGCTCATCCCTGTTCCCAAGCCATAGAGTCAGCATTTGTCCAAAGACAGTTTCCATGGTCAAGTGGCCAGCACGACTAGACACGGAGCACCGTTACCTTCCCACCGAGGTGGTATCTATTTATCTACTCACATTTTTATATGCTTTGGAACTGCTAGGTTAGCAGGAGCTGGGACAAGCGACGGGAGCTCACACCATTGTGCGGATTCAATCTTACGGCTGCTGGTCTTCTGGCCTTGCAGCACAGAGGCTTCTGTGGTTTAAACCGCAGCGCCACCACATCCCTTACCTACTATCTTACTGCAGTCCCTTACCTGCTATCTTACTGCAGCATTAATGGGATGGGTGCATTCAATCATACAGTGCCACAATATGTTAGATTTCTAAACTAAAAAAGGAGAAAGAAAAATCCTAGTATATTTCATCCAGTGTGGAAATATGGTAGCACCAGAATGTTACTATATTGTAGTCCAGCTGGTCTTCCCATGGTATACTAAGCTGCCTGTGGAGATACATAAGTTTCTTCATAGGATATCCATCATAGCACAAACTCCACCATAGTCTTCTGCCATGTTTTCCTGGTTTACTTTGCATACACTGCCAGAATGGATATTTGCCTCTGAACTAAACAAGTTCTTTATTAGTTGTTAGATATACTCCTGGTGTGTATTATTTTCTGAAGTTGCTCAACAAACAAAATCCCCATGTCCAGAAACTTTGCCAGTTTATCAGTGACTCCATAGAATGCACTTGGTTCTTGTTTTTGAATCCAGGGTATGTTAGCTCTCAAAACGTCTTCAGATTCATTGCTGTAAATCTCTTTCTCTTATGTCTGATTAAGTAGACTTGTCCACAAAGGCTCATATTAAAAAATATATAACCATTACTCTTGGTCTTCTCGGTCACACGAGATGCTGTTCCAAGTCCTCTATTCAGAGCACGTTCCCATCGTCTCTGGAGACTGAAGGACGCCTACAAAAAAAGGAGGTGCCACGCCACTTTTTTGTCTCTTGTTTAACTTTTTATTTCTATTTTGCTTTTCCCTATAATGCTGCAGTCAGGTTGGCATTACTATGAATTTCATGGTTACTCTCACAGTTATTCTTGAGTTGTCCCTGACATTCACTTGCTGCCTTTCCATCTCTAGGTCTTCTGTTCCCTTTATGACTATAACTAAAGCAATTTAAATTGGTTGTTTTTTAAAAGTCACTCTTTTATTACTTACTGTTCTACTCCACACAGATGAGAAAGTAAACTGTCTGAACACAAAAGGGTCTCCATAGTTAACTTTCATGCTTCCTCTTACATTATAGAGACCAGCAGAATTAACAAACAGAACAAACTCTTTGAGGAGTGATTTTAAGACTATGAACTATTTTCCCTTTGAATGTCTTCTTAAACAAAATGCTTCAGTCAGCAATTTATTGGGCTTTTCAACAGATTTTTTAAAATGTGTGAGGTTTTTAAATTTTATTTTATTTTAGTTTTCATCTGACAAAGTAGTTTACCACTGGAAGAAAATATGCACTTAACCTTCCAGTTGTCAAATGAAAAAAATAAAATAAAATGCAATATGTTTGGTGGGGCCATATGCACTTATCCTTCCAGATGGTTGCTGTATGGCTACAGTAAAGTAACAAAATTGTTATAGAAGGAATTTGTTATTGTGCAGCAGAGAAAATCAACATTCTACAAAACTCTATAAGTGGGGGCAGACGCCCAAAAATTATAACTTTGAAACTGGAGCTTAGGTCAGCATCAAGTTTGATAGGAATTTGTTATTGTGCAGCAGAGAAAATTCAACATTCTACAAAACTCTGTAAGTGGGAGCAGATACCCAAACATTATAACTTTGAAACTGGAGTTTAGGTCAGCATCAAGTTTGGCACAGATGTAGAAGGCAGTCTGCCCTTGCTGTAAGCCTAATTTTGAGACGTCTGGGCAAAGGGGTTTCAATTTATCTTTTTTTAGAAGAAAAAAGATGCCCCTGCCCCTGCCCTGGTGCAAAAACAAGCAACCCTAAATGGACCAAGATTTAAAATAGCTCATACAAACTGAAAAGACAGTTTTCCTGCTCTGGAAAGAGAATGATTGAGCCAACACTCTTTCTTTTGATTGGAAAAGTGCTGCAGGAGCTGAAATACTGATCCTCAAAAAAGGTCTTTCAAAAGTGAAAAACACTTGCTTTGTTATAAGATTGAACATGCACAGAAGAGGCTAACCAGGAGGAGCGTTCCAAAGTAAATACATTACTGCAATGTTGTGGGCCAGGAAAGGAAATATTTGGAGGGAAAAGAAAAGTCATAGAAACAATCTAAAAGCAGATCTGGTGTCAAAAAACAGGCTTGTTTTAAAGAAAGCAATGGAGTGACATTCTTCCAGAAAGGGACATTGTGCCATGTATCTCCAGGAAGTTAATATACAATTTTGCAAGACATATTCAAAGCATTTCTACATTGCAAAAGCACAAAGTAGTTGTGTTTCTCCCAGCTTTGAGTGCTTTCAGTCAACATTATCTCAGGATTTGTGAAACCCAGTTCTTGACACAATTCTTCAAAGAGGAAATAAGCTCCACATCTGCGGCAAACTGAACTTTAGAACCTGTCAGTCAAAACCCAATTAGCTGACTCTCAAGAGGAGCACTTTCTCACTCCTTTCTGGCCAAATAGGCTTGAGCGCTGGCAAAAAGATTCTGTGTCAAAAATATTTTAAAAGATTAATAACAACAAAAACAAAGATCCAGAAAAATGTGGAATTATTATTTTTTAACTTCGTGGCTGGGGATAGTCCTATTCAATGTTATCACAGCTTTGGTGCCTATATCCTATCATAATTTCGATCATTCCACCTACCCTGTCATTATACTATTGTATGGTAATTAAAAAAATCCAAAGAATTTATGTGCCATCAACTTGCTTCTCATGTGTGGTGACTATATAAGTTAATGACCTTCCAAATGTTCTATCATTAACAGTTCTGCTCAGATTTTGAAAACGCACAGCATTTCATGTTAGGTCTTCCTCGTTTCCTACTGCCCCCCCTTTCCCCAACAATATTGTCTTTTCTGGTTAGTTCCGTATGTTCATTATGTGTGCTTGATGGGTAGCCTGTTTATTAATTTTTGCTCTGGTGAGAGTGCAAGGTTGACTTGATTGCGCACCCACTTTTCTGCCTTTCTGACTGTGTGTAGTATCTATAAAGCCTTCACCCAACAGCACATTTTGAGTTGATTCCCCTCCCTATCTTTCTATCCAAAAACAGCCCTTCAAAATATTTTTGAACAGAGAAACTACAGCCACATCCCACCTGTTCCTGCTTTTGTCCTCTCCCAGCAATCATAGTATAGATCATGTATTCATCTTCTGTGATCCTCTAGCACTTAGTAATTCCATATGAGCAAGGTTTCTGTTGGGATCTGTGTATATTGTACGCATTTTTAAACTTCCAATTTAAAAAGCCAAGAAATTCAATTCTTCAAAAAACCTTTTCTTCAAACGACAGGAAATGGCCTGTTACTGCTGCACAATATTGTGTCCATATTACCAGCAGGAAAGAGGATGCCAAGTTTTACATTGCAAAGGGCAGCCTGAATGTTGACAATGCCAATGGCAGCAATCAAGGTGGTTTACAGAATACCTTCTTGTGCTCTCTACCATTCACAAAGTGAGACCAAGCAATGGAAAATCCCAGAAGCAGGCTCCCTTTTTTCATTAGTTAACCGCTTCTCACCCAAAAACAATCATCAGGGCTGTTTTACACTCTGCACAGCAGTGAGCACAAGAAAGTATCCTGTAGACAAACTATTCTCAACTTTTTTTTTTTGCCACAGCCATAAACACAATATGAAAGAAATATGGGCGGAATCAGGATTGTGTAAGTCACATAATGAACCTTATAAGATGATGTGTGACAGTTTCCAGTCTGTGGCCTCTTCAAATGTATTACAGACTGCTGCCATTCATATTGTCAACATTTAGGCTGAGCTTTTCTTTGTAAAGTTTGGCATCATTTTTCCCACTGGCAACATGGGCACACTATTGTGCAGCAATATGGGGCCATTTCCTGGCCTTTTGAATTATGGATACAGAAGCACAATATCCCAGGTTCATAAACCATGTTTTATTTTTGGACGAGCTGAATTATCTTGTTAGTACATTGAATTGTTAGGTTTACCCATGTAAGAATTTTAATAAAAAGAAAGCAAGATATACCAGTAATGTTCCAGTTCTTGTTATTAATACTCAGTACTGCTTGTTTCTCTGTATCATTTCATAAAGATGAGGGAGGAGGAATGGACATATAAAATGTTTATTTATTGCTGTGGGCTAGAGAACAGGTTCTACAAGAGGATCTGTATTTATTTTGTACTAACTTTGTACAATATTTTACCACTGGGACATTGCTTCCTCTATTAGGAGAGGCAAAAATCAATCTTCCTGCCCTCCAAAAGTTGAATATGTCCTATGATAAAGGAGAAAACTGACCCACAAAATTATTTAATTCTTAACTGATAATAATTACAATGAAGGATTTGGTTTCTCTACCCTACTCCCAATTTAGTGATAATAGAAGACCTATTGGTATCAGCTCTGAAGAACACCTATGTAAGACATACGGTGGTTGTCGAAGTTGGCCTTTACCAGCTCAGAAAATCCTGTGAATGGTTCCCTAGTCCATTTCCCCATTTTCAAATCAAAAGTGAAATAAAGCCTGTTTGCTGTGAGGCTTACACCAGCTGTAGGAAATATAAAGCCTTGACACACAGTTCACTGCCACAGATCTCCCTTGTTTCAACTGGCAAACAAACAACATATGTAACTATATATCACAACCCAGTCATTACACATTGTGGTTGCTTCAAGTCCATCATTTAAAACAGGGATTTTAAAAGAATGTGGAGCAATAAAGCAGTAATGAAACATTATTAGACATTATGGTGAGGGCATAAATTTTAAACATGATTTGAAACAGGCCATGTATCATTGAAGAAATAGTCATTACACTTTCAGTATAATTTGTATACTGTATACTCAGTATACTTTCAGATTTGCTACAGCTAGAAATAAATATCTGTATGTTTTGTATTTATTTTCTATTTATGTCTTTGTCCAAAACCTCTTTGCTTCATCAGACCAGCCAGCAACCCAACCAACTATGCTGCAAGAAAATACAAAGTACCAACCAGAAAGTAAAAATATGGTAAAGAAAGGGTTCATAGTTCGATCTTAAGAATCCTAGAACTGAATTAATTAATTAATGATATTTAGGAGTATAAAGTCACCTTTAAATAAAGTGCATGTAGATCCGTATCAGAGTGTAGATTCTTCTTCACTGTACATGCTTCCCTTCACTCTCCATGAACGCTGTGAAAAATTGCAATGAGACAAGAGACAGTTCAATCCTGGCTCCCTGTTTCCTAGAGGAACAGAACAGTAAGTCTATCTTTGTTCTTGGAAAAGGCAGGTGAGCACTCAAAATGATGGTCCATCATGTTCTTCTGCTATGTTATCCAATGGCGAATACTCTTCCATAGTGAGCCTACGTATATGCACACAGACCCCTTTCTTCTGCAAGGTTCTTCCTCTAGTCTTAATCCCCAAACTCACTTTCACAATGCAGATCCTATTTCCTCATTTTTCCTAGTTTGTCAAAGGCACTAGATAACAGATTGAATATAAAAAGGAAAAGAAGGTGTCTTGCTGACTTGTGTAATAAATATTATGTTTAACGAGAAATCTGGAAATTTGTGTTTTTGGACTATAGCTCCCAGAATTCCATCTGTTATCCAGAACGGAATTCTGGGACTTGTAGCCAAAAAGCACAAGCCTTTACATCTCTGTTTAACTATGTGGGCATAAGCCCTACGTTTTTATTAGAAAAGAACAATTTCCTGGGCATGGAAAGAATGGAACAGTAGCATTCCTGCTATATCTCATACTCTAGTAGTTTCAACCTATCCGGGTGTAATACCGCTTTGTATATATGTTCCCAGATTGCAGTGACCTATTTCGGCATCTTATGCCATGCACTGGCTATGCTGACTACTAGTGCTAAAACAAGGGCAGGTTATACTTTTATTAGACCACTGGTCTCCCATATATGTTAGCTTTTTGAGCTATACCAGTCTTCATAGGGCTATGCACAATATATTCTGGATAGTGCAGAAAAAGAGCATATGAAAGTCCTAAGAGTCAAAATAGATATCCATGTCAATTTTGCTTCTTGAAAGTAAGTTCAAAAATGCAGGGGTGCAGGTGCATTAGGTGTGTAGGTTTCAAATTCCATTGGTGGCCATTGATTGAATTCTCTCTACCAACTCATCAAACATATATTATTGCAAAGTCTGATGAATACCAGTATAGGTTGAAAGCCAGCAATTTTTTTTAGTGATCTAATAAAGATTATCTCCTGCCATCACTTTGTTCTGTGTAAGGACCACACACTTTGTTTATTTCTATTAGCAGCAAGTGAATCAGATTTTCTGCCATATTAGAGCCTTTGCCCTATTGGTAAAGGCAATCTCTCCTATACCCCATCCTCCATTTACTCGAAAGCACCAGAGGTTATGCAGAGTCTGTACTTAATCATTTTTAGAGTCCTGGGCTCTGTTTTGTTTTCTGTTTTATATTTAATTCTAAAATGTGAGCTTCCAACACTCAGATTTTTATTGTGAATCCTCTCTGAAGGTAAGTATATGTTGAAGGTGTGCCTTATTTAGCAAATACATACATGGGTACAAAGGAGAAAAGGGAAACACTAGAATTAGTAGGCTTTTAGTGCTTGAGTTTCTTTGCAGAACTCAAATGCATAAAAGAAATGCTTTCAACAGAAATATCACAAACCTACTGAACCTTTTGCATTTCTTTGTCTTTCAGTTCCATTTTCCCCTTGGATTGATTTGATCACTCACTGAAAGATTTTGCACTTCATGCATCTGGGAATATGTGCTGTAGTCCATAAATTCATTACTGCAACAAATCAGTTATGATGCCATCCTGTGCATGTTTATTCCTGAATAAATCCAACTATAAGTGGTCTACTCTATAACAAGTGTGTTCAAGATTGCAGCCATAACTTTTAAGAGGCTGTATAATTTAGTAGTTTTTCCCTACCAGTGCTTGTAAAGTTTGTTTGTGACGCTTAGAAGTGAGGGGAATACATTGTTTATTTTTTACTTTGTAAGTTTCAGGTCTGAGATCTATTCAGTTGGCTCCTCAGAAGCAACCTGAGCAACTTAAAGGGATAACTTGAGCAAGGCAACTAATGGCCTCCATCGCTAGGCATGGAGCTAAACCTATTTTTTCCCCCATCCAAATATACACTAGGCACTGCAGCTCAGTTATTTCCTTCCTTGCACAAGATCTCATGAGTCATATTTATTGGCAATTTCCCTAGCTATTACATTGACTTATTTTCATACTTACCCTTGTGTAAAAGATCCTATTGTTTAATAGTAGCTCATTTAATACTCTGTATGTCATGTTTCCATGCTCACAAATCTCTTCATACCAGTCATTTGCTATTCCATGAAAAGATTATTCTCACTGATATTTCACTGCCCCTTTCCTTTTCAATCTTTTGAGCCCCACAGATATACATCCCATGTTTAGCGTCCACCAGCCCTCCTTCATGATCTCCTTCTTCTTGCCTGGCAAAATTCTGCAATACTGTGATGTTTTCCCTTCATCTCACTGGAACAGTAGAATGTCCTACGCCCTACTTATGTCTTTACTTCTAATTTCTTATCTCTCTTTCTTGCCACTGCCAATCTTCACATTGTTTTTTTGACCAGCTCTTTATTAGGTCCACTGGAGGTTACATCCTTTTTGGAATTACTGTATTCCTTGCTTCGTTATTTTTCTTGGTTATCAGTCATCTTTTGTCTCAAATGAGGTGTTTCACTGATCTCTAGTTGTTTCTAAAAGGAATGCTATGCCATTTCACAAAGGGCCCAATAACACATGTTCTATTGAAACTTCTTCTCTCAGGACAGACTGAAAAATAAAATAAAAGAGAGATGAAGTTGCTATTTTTGACTAATCCTTGCCAGTACATTGTCCAGTGAAAGAAAGTCACCTGGCAGGCATCAATACTATGACTCTATGAAGTACTGTAAGCCTCATCTTCCTCATCACAGTGCCCACAGAGAGTAAACAAGAGAGTGAATCAGCATGAACTTGTCACCTTACATAATCCTCTGCTCCACACTCCCATAGGTAGTAGAATTCAAACAAGACAGTATTTGTGTGTGTGGATTCCATGGTCTTTCATTTATGGGACACCTTCTTCCTTGCTTTTTTGTTTCCAGTCCATGACAGAAGGTGAGGAGAAGTTATTGTTTATTGTTTCACTTGTTTCGGCTCACTAAAAAGGATAGTGTTGAGCACTGTTTTCCAGCTACCTGTGTTGTATCACATGTAGTTAGTGGTACAACTAGATAATTTTAGACCCTGGACTGGATAGGTTTATTCCTTTTGACTTTACACACCTGCACACACACCTGCACACACATCTAACACTTCTCCCTATCATGAATAAGATTCCATGCTTTTCAATTGTCTCTCCAATCCTTATTTCTCAGAGCAAGCAAATGAACAGTTTGTCAACCATGACTTTAAAAAAAATACTCTGACCATGTGCCAATTTTGCATTTTAAATTAACTTAAAGGATAGTATCATCATGACTACAAAAAAGAGATGTCACTTCTGCAGCTGATACTAACATTCACTTGAAACATGAGGATAAGCATAATTCCTTTTGCAAGAAAGGATAACATATAGTTGAAGTAAACATCTTAAAAACAGCATCTGTTATTGTGGATGTGTCTGGCCAGTTGCCACTTCAGATGATCAGACTGCAGGGGGGGAAAAGGAGCCTTGCCTCTGTAATATCGTTTTCCCGAAAATAAGACCTAACATGAAAATAAGCCCTAGTATGATTTTTCAGGATGCTCCTTATAGGAGCCCTACCCCCAAAATAAGCCCTAGTTAAGTGAAAGCCCGCCCTCCACCATTGTGCAGCAACCAGAAGATGATGACACGACTGTACAGTATTTGAATAAACATAGATGGTTGTACATGAAAAAAATAAATAAAACATCCCTTGAAAATATTCCCCAATGCTTTTTTTTGGGGGGGGGGGATTAAAAGAAGACCTTTTGTTATTTTCAGGAAAACACCGTAGTTGTGCAGAGGAAGAAAGTCAACAGGTGTCGGCAGCTATGCAAAATCAAAATAAAAATAAAACATCCCTTGAAAATATCCCCCAATGCTTTTTTTTGGGGGGGGGGAATTAATAGAAGACTTAGTCTTATTTTCAGGAAAACACCGTAGTTGTACAGAGGAAGAAAGTCAACAGGTGTCGGAAGCTATGCAAAATTCTCTCATCTCGTCAACTGTTAAAGAGAGCCCTTACACACATACTTTTAATACAATTACACATCGAAGGGCAGATGCTGCTGGAAGAGCCAAGGCACATCTATACTAGCCAGCCGAGGGGCAAACACCAGCTCCGTTTGCCACTGTTCAATCACCCCTCACCTCTTGGTGGCTATTTTTGGGAAAAAACCCCCCCCATATTGCATGCAATTAGGCCTTGAATCTTCCCTCTCTCTTCTTACTAGGACCACGTTTCCTTCATAGAACTACCTTCCTCCGCCCCCACCACCCGCTCCTTGGGAGACGTCTTCCTCCTTTCCCCTTGACTCCGTTGACACCTGCTGGCACTCGGTCCCGAGCCCCGCCCCCTCCGCGCTGCCATTCCAGCAAGCCCTCCTCCATCACGCCCAAAGAGGGGGGGGCGTCACGTGCGTCCTCTCCAGAAAGCGGGAGGGAAGGAGGGCGGGGGGGGGGGCTTTAATGTGCCCCGTTCACCGTGGCCAGCGCCAAGCCGAGAAGTCAGCTAAGCTAGCTTAGCCAGCCAGCCCGGGGTATACCTTTAAGGCACGTGAGCGAGGGACCGGCTGCAAGCGCGAGGAAGCGAGCGGGAGAGAACCCCTGCCGGCGCCGCCTCACTGAAGACCCCTCCATTAAGAGTCGCAAACTCGCCTCCTCCGTGGCTAAAGGGCGTGCTGGCGGGAGCGCTCCTCCTGAGGAGGTTAATGAGGGACGCGGCAAAGACCAGCGGCCGCCGCCGGCTTGCTAGTTAACCGAAGGAGGCGGCGGCCGTGGTGGAAGGAGGAGGAGGAGGAGACGCAGACGCTATAAGCCTGCCACCGGCAGCAGCCCTTGGATGCTGGCAGCTTTTAGCAGCCGCTCGCGTACGCGCCGCTTCCTACCGCAGACTGTGCGTGTGTCTTCTCGCCTTGGCCTCTTAGCCCTTGCGTGGGGGGCGAGAAGGCGGCGCGCCTCCCTCACAGACACCTGGAAGGAACGGCTGCCGCCCAAGACCTTCCGCCTTTTTTCCCTCTCTCTCTCTGGCCAAGCCCTTTTGCTCCCTAGCCAGCCCTCGCCTCAGCCACAGTCCGTTCGTACCCCTGCGTTTCCTCCCGCCCCTCTACTCTGCCCGGAGTTAATTGGAGCTGTCGCCGGCCGCACAGGACTGAGGAAGCCACGGGCGAGCCAGGAGAGAACGGGTTGGGACTGGCTGAGGAGGGTGACAGAAGCGCCCGAGGACTTGGAGCCGACGGGGGTCGGGCGGGGTAAAAAACAACACACACACACACACAACCTGCCGGCAAGCACCTAACCTCGGCGCTTAACAAGGGGCAAAAAGCTCCGCGTCGTTGTTGGTGGTGGTGGTGGTGGTGGGGCGCGCAGAGAGGAGGAAAACGCGGCGCGCCCGTGCGGGCGGCGGGTCGAAACGGGGAGGCCGGCCGTGCTTCCCGCGGCTCTTCGGCGGGGGTGATTGACGCGGCAAAGTTGAACCGCAACGAGTTGCTCGCTCCGCTTCCTGCTCTTGCCGGCCCTCCCATCCCCACCTCCGTGAGCGGGGCTCCCGCGGCGCTGCCATCCCCTCCTCTTGGAGCCCAAGCTGCGCTGATTCCTCGGATGGGAGCTTGGCGTTACCTGCCCTGAAGCTGGCACAGACCCAGGACACAGGTAAGTTCCTGCTTTAAGCGACGCGATTCTGGAAAGAGGAAGGGTGGGATCGCCTCCGAAAATAAATCCTCCCCCTCTCCCTTTCAAACTTTGCCTCTGCCTTGCATATGGTATTGACAGCTTCCTCTCCGCGCGGCCCCCCCTTTTCCCCACATGGGCGCGACTACCGGGGTGTGTGTGTGTGAAGGCTCTTGCGCTCTAGGAGGAGCCAAGACCCTCCCCCGCCGTAGGAGCCTTCCGAGTCGGCTAGTATATAGACCCTCGATGGAATGAATCAATGGGCTTTGCTGCCTGTGATGGTTCTGTTGAAATGTTCTTCTGCGCTTGTTACTCATCCGAAGCGTTCGCTTGGCGAGGCAGGCAAGTTTGGAGAGGAGTGTAGACGAGAGAAGTTTGGCCTTGCTACTGCTTTATTCCAGTAAGAGGAGAGACGGGGTTGATGTCCATTGCTTTGCTTCCATGCGCTCTCTTCCCCTTTCCTCCGAGGCGAACTCCTAAATTGCCTGAAACCTGAAATCGTGGTGAAGAAACCCTTCTGATTAAGTAGGGGAGGCTCCCTCTCTGGCTCCTGTGGATACAGGACTGAAAGCAAATACCTATAGGTAACTATGCCTTCATTCTGAAAGTATACCATTAAAAGCATCTATAGTCTCTGAAGGGAGCAAGATGTCTCTTCTGTAGATCAGGTGGAATGTAAGCCGAATTGCAAGTAAAGAAGTGTCATTTTGAAAAAAAAAAACTGCCTGGCCTGCTTTTGGTTAGCAAAAGGTTACATTTGTCTTTAATCTCAGTGCTTATTAAGATGTTGATAATTGGCTGACTGGTATCTTTGCCTTTAATGTGGTTTTCACAGAGGCAGAGTAAACATTTTTTCCTTAACTCAGAATGACATATAAATTTTAAGTATTAACTTAGACACAAGGTATTCAAGCATTGCTGAAGCCACCTGCTGAATTCTTCAGTGTTACTTTTTTCTAGGTAGGGAGTAAGTTGTTAGTGTTGTACAGACATCCAGCAGATGGAGCAGTGGAAAAACTGTACCAGACACTCATGTAACAAACTATAAATGTCAAATCATAGCTAAATAAAAGATGCTGCTCTATACTTTCCAACAAAGGTGGGATTGGGGTAACAGCCAACCATTTTCTATTGGTATTAATGATTGATGTATCAGTTTTTCTTGTGTTAAAATGTGATTGATAGTCTGCCATGTAGTCCTGGTTTTTCTTATGTGTAGTTCTTCGATATCAAGGAGTGTCATGTTGTGGATGTGTGTAGATTGTTTTGCAACATATAGTATAGTATTTAGAAGGTAGTTCATTATGATTACATACTGCATGAACATAATTGTTGAAATCAAATAAAGGGTGCCTACATATTTCGGCTGGTGTCATTGGAAATCATTTCACTTTCCTATACATAAATATAATTAGTATATTGGTAAAATGGTTAATTTTTCATTGCAGTGAAATTTATTCTGCTAATGAACAGTGAGAGCAGTTTTGGATGTTCGCTGTGTTGTAAAGTAAAATATTAATTAAAACATCTAAAAGATTGTGGTTGGAAATTAGTTTTGGTTGTTCTGTTTCTCAGTCAGGCTGCCAGAGGAAGGCAAGATTCAGCAGGTTGTTGTTCGCCAGTTGCTGTTCTGCTCAATGTGGGCAGAACTTAAAGTGTCATTTTCCTGTACTTGTATATTTCTACTCCATCTTCCAAGCAGCATGCCCGAGTAACTAACATTTGTTTTTTTAACTGATCTGCATTTTTGTATGGACCAGTTTAATCTATTGTAAAGTGCTCCAATTGTAAATGTCATCTTCGTATTCTTATAGTTTTACCAGTTAAATACTTTAAGTGTAATCCAGATAAAGCTGAGTTCATGTACACAGAACTGATTTTAATCATGTGCTTTGGTGGTTTCCCCTCCCTTACTGAGTCAGTGGAGTGTCCAACTTTCTCTCAATTATGCTGTTTAGTAGCTACATAGATAATCTTCTGTAAAGAAGTGTTTCAGTAATTGTATTCTTTATATTGTATTCTTAATATATGAGAGAATAATGGTTTCAAAGAGGTAGCTCTGTTAATTTGTTTCATCATGTATAACCAAAACAATAGTGTGAGATTGCATAGATCAAAATCTGCTTCCTCAAATAGATGGTGTTTTATGTGTCTGAGGAAGTGGATTGTGATCCATGAAAGCTTATGTTGAAATAAATCTGTTAGTCTTTAGGCTGCCACAGCTGTACATATTTTTAAACATATAGAAATCATGTGGGTTTCATTTCCTGTTAGATAGCAAGAATGCATAATAAACACAGAAGAAGCCCATTTTAATTCGATAAATTCCGAATGTTCTAAAACATATTATCTCCCCTTTTTCTTAGTTGTTGATTTGGATTATTCACTGCTCAGAGGTTTAATGGCATTTTTCACAAAAATAGTCCTATAATTAATGAAGGACTGATGTAAAGAGTGTATGTTCATTCAGGGTTGATGCTTACCTGCTGATGAAAGTGCTGTTCTTTAAAAAAGTTTTTGTGCCTTTAATGTTGTGACAGTTAGGTTTAAAATGAAAATACATTTAGACATTTGGGTTTAAGGAGGTTGTGACCTCATTTATGACTTGCATGTTTGATATTCCAGAAGCGTAGTGTTGCCAGAGTTGATGTAAAGTTTGGTTAACATGAAGCGCTTAAAGTGAACTCATCCCAACCATGATATCTGGAACTGAATAGATCGCATTCCATGTGGTCTGATCTGTCTCGGGTTGTGGGTCAGTCTGCTAATCACATTGCCAAATCTAATGTTAGTTCTACTTAGAGTAGATTTATTGAAATCAATGGTTGTGACCAAGTCACATTTATTTCAGTGTTTGTTTTAATCCTGAACATTGTGCTAATTTATTTATGCTACTGCAACAGAACCTCCTCCTCCTCTGTTTTCTCCCTTTGCTCTCTCTGCTGCCCAAAAATCATCTTGGGTGAGGGGGTGAGCAGAGAACCCAGACCCCCCAAACCAGATCTGGAATGTATGGGTGGTGGTGGTCATTATCCCTTCCTTGTTCCACTGATGTAATTACTGTATTTCTGTCAGTGGAATGATACAATTAGATCGAAATCATAATTTTAAATTAACCCCGCCACGCACACATTTTCTATCCAATTCTTGAAAATAGAGTGTGTATTCATAGGTGTTGGCACTGCTTTTGGGATTCTTTTGTTTTTGCTCCAGTCCTGTCATATACATACTAAACACCACTCATAATTATGACCTTCAGGTGTTTGCTATATGTACTTCCTTCTAGGGGCCATGTACAGAAGTCATGATCGTGCAGATGCTTATGGAGTCCACAGAACTTCTGTCTGCACTTTTATTTGTTTTGACTGCTGACTATTGGAAATGTTAGTATGGCTGCAGATGAAGTTCTCTGGACTATACATGATTCCATCCATATATGATATTTGTGACGATTTAGAAGTCATGTAGAAATGTTTGTGGTGATAGGTGTAAGCCATATCTTATAAGCTAGTCTTGGTACAGAGCCTGTGTACCTTTTAACTTTGCTTTAGAGGATCAGCATTTCTAAATTACTAAGAAAGTTGGACTTGTTCTAGTAATTAAACTTATTTAATACTGGAGATTCTCAGTTTTATCTACAGTATATATTTACAGAATAGTGAGTTGGATCCAAACTCATAGCACTTCCACACGCATAACCGCCTGGAAATAAGCACCATTTAGTTCACTAGAATGTTTTGCCATGTAAGTGAGTATTGAAGACTTGCAGCCTGAGTTAATCCCATTTCAGTCTCCTTGAAAAGAATGGGGCTGATTATTCACAGTTAACTAGAATCCCTTTGACTGTAGTGCAACTAAAGTATTACAGTACTAGCTTAGTATAGATATAAGCGGTCACTAATAATAATAATAATAATAATTACATGTTGTTAATTTTGAATGATGACATCCCTTCACAGAATCTTCTGGATATATATTATTCGGAAGTGTGTTAACATTCCCTTTTTCTGGGGTAGTTTGCCAAAGGCTACACAGACTGGCTTTTCTTTCAGGAGGCAGAGTGGGGAATTGAACATCCAATCTCTGGCTCCACAGACAGATGCCTTAAT